ATCAGGGCTGGGTAAATCCCAGGAGCCGGATAGCCAATGCTCCTTAAACATTACAGCAGTTGTAGTTGTCAATGGGATGGGCTCCTGGAAAAAAAAATCCTACTGCCCCAGATTGGACAGCCTTTTCCCTGAATTCCATACTGATTTTTCCACCCTGGCTTATCCCAAGCGCTATACATACACTATATTGCCAAAAGTATTGCGACGCTCCTCTAAATCATTGGATTCAGGTGTTCCAATCACCTCCATGGCCACAGGTGTATAAAATCAAGCACCTGGGCATGCAGACTGATTCTACACACATTTGTGAAAGAATGGGTCGCTCTCAGGAGCTCAGTGACTTCAAACGTGATCCCGTGATAGCTTGCCACCTGTGCAATAAGTCCATCCGTGAAATTTCCTTGCTACTAAATATTCCACGGTCAACTGTTAGTGGTACTATAACAAAGTGGAAGCAACTGGGAGCAACAGTAACTCAGCCACAAAGTGGTAGGCCACGTAAAATGACAGAGCAGGGTCAGCGCATGCTGAAGCGCACAGTGCGCAGAAGTCGCAAACTGTCTGCAGAGTCAATAGCTACAGACCTCCAAACTTTGTGTGGCCTTCAGATTGGCACAACAACAGTGCGTAGAGAGCTTCATGGAATGGGTTTCCGTGGCCGAGCAGCTGCATCCAAGCCTTACATCACCAAGTGCAATACAAAGCGCCTGGTGCAGTGGTGTAAAGAATGGCGCCACTAGACTCTAGAGAAGTGAAGACGTTTTCTCTGGAGTGACGAATCACGCTTCTCTGTCTGGCAATACGATGGATGTGTCTGGGTTTGACGGTTGCCAGGAGACCGGTACTTGCCTGACTGCATTGTACCAAGTGTAAAGTTTGGTGGAGGGAGGAATATGGTGTGGGGTTGTTTTTCAGGGGTTGGGCTTGGCCTCTTAGTTCCAGTGAATGGAACTCTTAAGGCATCAGCATACCAAGACATTTTGGACAATTTCATGCTCCCAACTTTGTGGGAACAGTTTGGGGATGGCCCCTTCCTGTTCCAACATGACTGTGCACCAGTGTACAAGGCAAGGTTCTTAAAGACATGGATGAGCGAGTTTGGGGTGGAGGAACTTGACCTGCAAAGGAGTCCTGAGCTCAACCAGATAGAACACATTTGGGATGAATTAGAGTGGAGACTGCGAGCCAGGCCTTCTCGTCCAGCATCAGTACCTGACCTCACAAATGCGCTTCAGGAAGAATGGTCAAACATTCCCATATACACACTCCTAAACCTTGTGGACGCCTTCCCAGAAGAGTTGAAGCTGTTATAGCGGCAAAGGGTCGGCCAACTCAATATTGAACCCTACGGACTAAGACTGGGATGCCATTAAACTGCATGTGAGTGTAGATGTCCCAATACTTTTGGCAATATAGTGTATTTTAAGTATTTTTTTTTTGGTTGCAATTTGCGTTTAACATTTACATTTAGGGTATTGAAATTGTTTTTACCCTAGAATCATGACAATGGGAGACCTAACATGAGTGGATTGCAAAGACGTATTATTTAAACAAACAATAATGTAGTTTTAAATAAACGTCATGGCCTATAACACGGTTTATTAGTACAGTAGAAACAGAAATTGTTGTAACTGGAAGTAAATATATCAGAAATCAGTTTCACAGTGCCTGCTTCCTCTTGCCAACTATGGCACTTTACGAGGAAATTTAATATTTAATTATTTAATGAAAGCTCCAGAGTGAACATTAAACATGTAAATCTGTTTTGTTGTAAACAATTCCTCAGAAAGAAAAAATGGTTTGAGTTTAAACACAAATGAGCTGATTACATTTGAAAAAGTTCCTGCTAATCAGTTCCTTTCTGCAATAAAGTTAAGGGGATTTTTACTGCCTACCTGCTGCATGTAATTTTCTTTCTTTTTTTTTGTATTTGACAGAAATTTGTGCGCATATGTCAAAACACAGAGTATTAATGTCAGAACAATTTGGCAATAGATATGACAGATCTGTGCTACAGAGTGCTTAGTCAGGCTTTTCATAAGTGAATTCTGGAAGTGTCTATTCAGAGCAAATTGGAAGTGTTAAGACTGACCTAAAATTGCTTCAGTGCAACAATATAAGAGACGGTTTCTTGGAGCCAGAGACATATTTTGGTATAAAAAGAGTATTATAAAGCTGAATATGACCGAGGAAGACATGAACTAAGCTCCCTAATAAAAGAGGATGGGGCTGATGCTGCACAAGTAACATTTAGCCAGTTGAAGAACAATGGCGTGAGAATAGCTATTAGATTTTAGATTTTCCTTGGCCTTTGCACAAAACAGCAATTCAAATTGTCTGTTATATATGAAATGCACAGTACTGAGGAGTTATTAGTGGCAAGACTATGCAAATAGAGAAGGTATGTCAAGGAGGGGTATATGTGGGGTAGTGCAGACTGTTCTGTGATTGGGGGTTAGATATGGGTTTATGCTTTTTTTTTATTATGCAGCTGCAGAGGGGTTCTATGAGCTCCTTATTGCCCAAAGACATATTTACTTTCAGAATAGCATGGATCATATTTATCTGCAGGTAGAAAAGAAGGTTGAATCATCTTGTCATCTATTTACAATGGCCAGTTTAGTTGTAGAGCTTTGCAGTAAGTAATTCTCCGTAGTCACAAACAAGCTTTTGAGTGAGTGAAACCCAGCATGGTACATTTCTGTCATGTTCACGTTATCATTATCTATGATTTTTCTTTGTCAGTCTGGAAGTCTGGGGGGAATAAAAACTGATATACCAAAGCAAAATTATATCAGTGGCTACATCCCCATCATCTCCCGTATACGTCAAACATGACTAGCATTGGTTTGTTCAAAGTTGGTGCTGTCATTGTGCACAAAAAAAGAAGAGTAATATGATATATGTCTTATATGATGTAAATGTAATGTGATATATTTTCCTACAGGTATGGGACCTTTACAGATCTTAACAAATAATTTATTTCCATCGTGTGTGTTTTATTGTCCCTTCCAGTGATGAATGAAATGTATATACTGTATATAATTTTTTTTTTTGCTCACATCCTGGTTTATAAATAAAATATATGTGAGATTTTACAGCGCCATAAATGTTGTTAGCGCAGAGAAAATATGTAGGGTTCTCAGATTCGCTCTTTGATACAGCGCAGTATTTCGGCAGACATGAGACAGGATATTATCAGAAGCTTCATAACGCCAAACTGAGTAGATTGTTCATGCTTGGCAGATTCTGCATTACAAGGGAATCACCTGCATAATACACAACTTTGTGTAGAGCCAACAGGAAAAACTTGAGTATTAGTGCCAGGTACGATAGTTGTCTATTTATATATCCTTCTTGCTTTCCTGAATTCTGCTAAACTGCCACCTCTAATGCTATATATAACACAGGATGTAACTGTGTGTACTGTATGATGAGGGAAGGAACTGTAATAGAACCATATTGAGGTCTGTTATGCTAATACTATCTATGGCTGAGATACAAGACTTATTTCTGGGTGTTTTGGATATAAGAGGGAAATTAGTCTGTCAGTGTCTAACACTAATTCATTTTTGTATAGTTCAAATTATCATATTGGACAGTGGAAATTTAATTTTTGCTGGAGATGGAGCAGAAAACTAGTAGCATCAAATTGCTCTCCTGCTTTAGGTGGAGATGAGTGTGATGTGATGTGGAGAGGACTGGGATTACATATGAGAAAATTGTTCTCCACTTCTGAATGCATAGGGTATTCCAGGTGTGTAAAGTGCAAATGCAGACTTATGGTTTAGCTTGAGAAGAGTGTGAGAATCTGTTCTTTGTGCTGATAGATATCCTGATGAAATGGTCAGTCTGACATTGAATCTCCATCTGTGAAGTTTTCTAGTGAAGGGGCTGGAGATGACCAATTCCTGAGTCCTAGTTGGTGCAGCTTTCTGTCCATTTCACAATGTATGCATCTGATGGTGCGAAATGTCAGCTGAGAGGGCTCATCACTCTGAAATATGCTGCCTAAATTTGTGTGAAATTTTAAGACCCGTTTACTAAATGAGCGGGTATTCTGATTGTATTCTGACTTTAGTGTCAACTGCTATGTGCACAGCGGGAGATTCATTCATCCACACTGTAGTCTATAATTTTTTTCTTTCAGTCTGCAGGCTGAATGAAAAAAATATATGAATGTGTTCTTTTTTTACATATTTCTACTGCTAGCAAGCAGTAGATATATGCAACAACATAAAAAAAAAGTTACCAAACAGGTTATTACTTACCTTTGTCTCTGCCACTCGCTCCTGTCCGAAGATCTGAAGACTCTCAAGCAACGGTAAAGGATCATGGGGCGGGCGTATGCGCAGAAGAGATCTTCTGGCCGGTAAAAGAGGAGAGACACAAGGTAAGTCAATGCACGCAGCCTGGCAGCGTGCAGATACCGTGGGACGCAGGAGTCAGCGCGGGATCAGAGACTGGCACCAGCGCTGGAGAGTCTCCTGAATACTACTGGAAAGAAGATGATTGGATCAAGAGGCATTATTTAAGGTAAGTCCTTAAGGGTTAGTTCACATCATATGCAGTGCATTCCGGTCCGATTCTGGCTGGAACGCACTGCATCGCATTCCGGCTGGCTCACTTTTTTGTGGGGCAGGAGGGGGCATGGCGGGCCATTGAAGTGATTGGCACTGTAGCCATGCCCTCCGGCCGCAATGCGATCGCCCGCACGGCACATTGTGCCAGCGGTCCGGTGCGATCAAAATGCTGCAAGCACTATTTCGATCTCACCGCAATGGCCCCATCCTGCAACACAAAAAAGTGAGACGGCCGGAATGCAATGCAGTGCATTTCGGCCAGAATCAGACCGGAACGCACTGCATATGGTGTGAACTAATCCTCAAGCAGCATTTGAGGGGGGCAGGGAGGGAGATGTGATTTTTATGTCACTTTTAGTCTATTAGACTGCTGGAAAACAATGTACCTTAACCTGATATCTCAGCCGCGCTTCTTCAGAAAGACTGACACTGCCTGGAACAGAGCTGGCCACCTCGTCTCCTTATAAACTCTGTACTATTCACTAGGTGTGCAGCTCTAGGATTTAAACTGTAACCCATAGCAGCCAGATTTCACTTCATCATTTCTTTTGCTTGTATATTTTGAACTCTCAGATTTTGCGGAACCTTTAGTGGCAAAGTTACACAAAGTGTGGGAAACTGAAAAGCAACTATTTTGTGCTGACTGAGGCCACACGACAGGCCTGGAGGTCATGTGGCAGAGAGACCGCACAACAGATGAGGCGTATTCTTATAAACCACTTTGATTCCACAGTTCAGCAATCTGGCCACATGTAACTGGAAGACTCACTGCAGCCACCATTGTCCCTCCTCCATCCATCAGGGGGCGACACACTGCTGCCGTGGCCAGTATAAATAATAGCAGGCCATTACTATCGAAAGCAGTTATTTCCTGATTGGACACATACATCTTATATATTTGAAGGAATTTAGTAGATGTAATGCAGGCAGTGGCCATCTACCATTTCATCATAGAAGGCGGGAAGGCTAAACGTGAACAGTTGTCAAACATTTTTTTTTTTTTTAAGGAGAGAAGTGGATGACTGCTGTGTTTTTTGTTTTTTTTAATTTTATAGTTTAGTTTAATGCGAATCCTTCAGGTTCCGCAGACAAAGTGCAGGTGGCATCAGTGTTCATATCTCTGCCATACATGACCTTATGCAGGCTTATAATAGGCTCTCATAGTGTTTGTATCTTTCCTTACTATATTATTCTGGTTTCTTTGTCACCCTTGTGGGCAGAATTTGGCAAATGTTTTGGACAAGAAAGCAACAAAAATAGTATTATTTAACATTAAAATAATTCACCAGCAATAACAGGAATCATATACAAATATGTATTGTTATGGCACATTTTTACAACAGTTGAGTAGTTTTTTCTCCAAGGAAGAAAAAAAATCTCTATTTTTGCGTTTCTAGAGATTTCCCAGAATGCATGAGTCTAATGTTTTGCCTCCAGCAGTGAGTGCGTCAGAGCAGGACCATCCATAGTGAGCCGAGTCCGTTATTAGCGGGGTAAACGGTCATGCGTCTCTGCTGTATTCCAACCGTTAACAATTACTGCTGTTTCTGAATTCACCGTTTTCTGTGATCTGCAATTTAGTTGGGTTTGTGGGTGAAATTCCGTTACGTGTTTGCATGCTGTACCTCTCTTTTAGCTGTGTTAGGGCGCTCATTAACCTGGCGTTGGCCGCATCCAGTGAGGCAATGCGCTTTTCCTGAAATGACAAGACAACTTTTGACTCACAAAGAACTCAGTGTTTGCCAGGTGGTTACTAAACATTCTCTTCAAGAAAGCTGACTTTATCTCTATGTAACAGTAACTGAATAACCTTCTGACAGAAAGAAATGGATTGTTTTTGCATTTGCTGTAAAACCCTTTACACCATTAGTCTGTTCCATGTATGGGTATAACTGCCCCCTCTTAAGGTGCCCATACACCTTACAACTATCTACAGATTTTCTGTGGTCAGATGGAAAAAGTGCAACAGATTGGCCCAGGTGGAGATTACTCCATCCACACAGTTAAGTGAAGATGGAGGAATCTGTTGCACCTTTTCCGTCTGACCACAGAAAATCTGCAGATAATTGTAAGTTGTATGGCCAGCTTTAGGTTTGGATATTATGAAAATCAGTTGGCCAGGAGAGAGACAGCTGAGAGAGAAAGAGGAGAGACAACCAGAAGGATGATCAAGGAGAGACAGCCCGGAGAGAGAGACAGGTGAGACAGCAAGCAACACATTTACCTGGAGCAGAACCCCTGTGCCCTTCAAGACGTATCTGTACCCTGTGTTTCAGACACCTCATTGCCCCCCAAGTTCCAGTGTCCCACCGTGTCCCCTCCATGCACTGAAGTTGAAATAGCAGGACTCTGTGGTTGCCCCTGTCCACCTGACATTGTGACATCTTGTGTCTGAGTTTCAGCCGGCCTGAATCCCGGACACAGCACAAACCCGAACTGTCTGGGTGAATCCCGCACAGGTGGCAACCCTATTGCTGAGCCGGAACCAGCGAGATCTTTGTTTTTGCAGATCCTGCAAATATTTATCAAAAAAAATATTTTCGACTAAAGTACACTTAATTAGTAATACACAAAAACAACAAAACTTACCAAATCTATAAGATAAACTGAATTGCCTTTTTGCAAAACGGTTGGCCTCACATCTATGTGTTGTGTTAATACTAGGGATGCACCGATACCGATACTAGTATCGGTATCGGTGCCCATACCAAGTATTTGGGTGAGTCCTCTTACTCGCCCAAATGCTTTGATACCTAGCACGTGTACTTCCTGTATCAGGAAGCCGGGCAGCGCATCATTACACGCTGCCCAGTTTCCTGATTGGCCAAGAAATGGCTCCATGCTCTCTCGTCACTTGTGATAAGAGAGCATGGAGCCGACTTCCCGGCCAATCAGCAAGCCGGGTAGCGTGCAATGACGTGCTGCCCGGGTTCCCGATTGGTCAGGAAACTAGCAAATCCGGAAGCCGGGTGCCGTGTAATGACGCAGCGCCCGGCACTCTGATTGGCCGGGAAGCCGGCGTCATGCTCCCTCGTCATCTCATGGATCATAATATTAAGAAAGTGACCTTAAAGCATTAGTTTGTATTGCTTTAGAAAAAATGTGACCTGTCCCTTTAAGAAAAAGTATCGGTAATTGGTATCTGCGAGTACTTGATCAAAAGTATCGGTACTCGTACTCTGTCTTAGAAAAGTGGTATCGGTGCATCCCTAGTTAATACCCAATCTGCAGTGCCCTGTGTTGGTGTACGTTGTCCATTTTATAAGCACCAAGTTACAATGCTTGGCAATGCATCACAAGACACTGCTGCACATATAGTTGAATAAACGTTGTAGTTTACAAAAAGTAAAAAACACGCACTGTGAGTGATAACAACGCACTGCAGCACATGTGCACAACACAGACCAGCAAGCACCCACTGGTGCACATGTACATTGTGTGTGTGGTGTTTTTACTTTTTTCTCAATCAGTTGTCTTTGTTTTAACAGTACTGTCAAGGAGCGTTAGTGAAATATCGGGGGTCTAAACAGACCTCTTATATTTCCCTTTTGTGATAGATAAAGGGATTGAGGACAGAGTCTTCGATCTCCTTCTTCCCTGCAGCCCCAGCACTCATTAACACTGAACACAAAGGCTTTTTTTTGTTAATTTTGGATAGGTTGGGGAAGTTAGAAACCTCATCAACATTTCCACCCACTTTTTTCCCCAGTAACAATGGTTTCACCAGGCAGGCAGTGAGAAAATATATGCAACAGGGACAAACAAAAATTTGACAGCGGTTCTAGACTCCCCTAATCTACTGGAAAAAAAAGCATTTTGATTTTTGTCTGTGTTTAGTGAGTTCCCCTGTCTTCCAGTCTGGTAGAACATTGCAAAAAAAAAGTTAGGAGTTGTTAATGTCTCTTGTGCCCGGATATCAGTAAAAAATGGTCAGGGTTCTAACCCTTCCCAACTCTATCCAAAAAAAAAAAGAGTTTAGGACATATACTTTGAGAGGTCAGCACTATTTCTCTCAGCACAGGTTTCTTGCCAGAAATGTCTTATTGATGGTGAAAGCTGGATGTTTTTTTGGCTTGCCAGAAGCTGCTTTCTTCACATCCGTGAAATAAAGAATATTTACCAAATCAGCTTTGCCGGTTATCTGTGCTTTGCATGAATTGGCTGAGATCAGTTTACAACAGATAAACGGCAGTGGAAATAAGATACTGGATACAATTTCCTTCTATCTGAGAATTGTAGCGTCAGGTAAGTGGCTGTGCTAGGATATGAATGGCGACTACGCGAACAAATAATAGAAGTGCATCCTGCGGAAAGACTGCACAGAGGAACACTGTCTTCTAGCGGGAATGTTTCCTTGTAATAATTACAGATATGAACATTGAGAACATTCTAAGAATTACAAAGCCGCTTAATAAAATCTAAATGCAGCCAGGAAATGATGTGAAGGCAGAGAGCCGACTTCTGTCGGATTACAAATTTTGATTATGAATTATAATTAACTCAGGACAAGTAACATCGATAAGGCATCTTCATAATTTCATGATTATTAGTGAAGCTGGCCTCATTCTTGCCGTATGAGACATGGGATGTGTGAAGGCCTGATGTGCTATCCGTTAAGTGGCTGTTCAGGGAAATATATAAGTGGCACAGTCTGCTCTTTTCACTGTGAAATTAAATAACGTTGTGCTGAATTAATATTTTCCTGTCTAATAGTGTAAGGCGCCATCCGGAGGCAGTTACGCTGTGCCAGTAACGCAGAGGGCAAGCCAATTCCATCCCCCACCTCCTAGTATTGCCCAAGGACTTGTCATATCAGAATATATCCATACCTGTGCATCAATAATCTTCTGTTTGGAGTCCACAGCTGCCTGCATCTCTGCGTGGTCCTTCTTCAGCTCCTCCTCTACAGACATCAACCTGTGTCAAACAAACCACACAATAATCTACATTTTCTGCTTTATTACCATAATAAACAAATACTGAGGATAGCAAGAAGAAAGCTGTTTTTTCTGGAAGTTTAGAAAGAATTTGCCACAAATTATGCTGTAGTGACGTGTATATATTAGGGCAGTGTTTTCTAAACTATAATATTCCGCAGTTATATTCCTTTCATAAATCCTCAGGCCCCGTTCCCACTGCGCGATATGCAAATTGCGCGTTTGTCGCGCGATTTCGCGAGATTTGCCGCATTGAGCAAGCTTGAATCGCGGCTAAATCCGCTCCAAAAAGGGTCCTGCTGTAGCGACACACGACCCGCGACAGCAGGACCCTTTGCCCCATTGAAATGCATTGGAGCGCGATATCGTGCGGTAATTTGCCGCGATATCGTGGGAATTACCGCGCGTTAAATCGCTCAATGTGAACGGGGCTTTACACCTATCTGACGCTCCAGTTACTTCTTCCTTCCCCTGAGGACTCTGGCACAGGTTCTTTAATTGCAACTGATGTCCTCTATCTGTCTCAACCTCTGACTACCTTGTCCTCAGTGTGTCCTCTTGTCTGCTCCCCTGTGAAAGTGAGTTAGCCTAAGGGAATTGATTACAAATCATCTTTGAAAAGCACGTGGTTTGGTTTCTAAGGGTTTACATGTGGATGTATAATCTACGCCTCTAGTTGTAAACAATGTGAACTATAAACAAAACGTCAGGTCTGTGAGACATCATCTTTTCTCTTGCTGTGACAGCTCTAGGACGATGGGTCATAGCAGGTCGCTCCACGGTCACCAGAATAAAACATTTTTTTGTTGGTTGGTGGAAGCAGTGAGGGAAGATTTAGGACTTTGCTCAAGTTTCTATTGCTTTTGTGACCCTGTTGTAAACACTTCCTCTCACTTCCTGTCTTGGGGACACTGAGTGGCAAGATGTAACGAAATGTTCCCAGGACAGGAAGTAAGGGCAAATTTCCCTAAAGGGACACATCAATAATCCGCCATCCAAAATAAAATAAAACCATATTTATGGAGTTGAATGCTAAACACTGCTTGCTCTTCGTTATATGCAAAGTTTAAGAACAAAGAGAAGAAAAAAAACTTTACTAGGACAAATGCAGTGACTTTAAAGTAAGAAAAACAATTGACAATCGTGTTTCCTCTCTACATGTCAGTGATTGTCATCTCCAAAGGCTAAAAATAAATAAATGTATGTCTGAATAATAGTTTTGCAGAATATACACATTTCAGCATTTATCCCCACGACATGCGGATAATGACACCTCTGAGGCAGTCTGCATCCGATAGAGATGCAGACCATGTAGCTGCTCCCTCAAGTCTGGTACACTGTCCGTGACCACGTACCTGACTTATGAGTTGGCTGCAGGCCACATAGTACCGGCTCGCAGGCTGCAATTGGCCCGCGGGTAGGTACTTTGAGACCACTGCTCTAAAGGGAACATATTGCAGCACGCATTTTTGATAGAGGCAGCCTTGTCTGACTCACAAGTTCCGTGCTTATTTCAGATCACTAAAGCCACTTTTCAGTGTGTGCATTGACAACCCTGGAACTGGTATGCAGCAGAGAGGTTTCAAAACCAATGAAAGTGAAAACAGGCATACCCAATAATAGTAACAGCCGTGCCATTAGGCTTGCTTTAGTAATCAATCAAGAAAAGTACTGTTATTCATGAGATGGACAATGTTAAGCATTTCATAAGTTGTACACAATGTGGGCAATGGTAAAAGGCAGTAGATATAAAGCCCCAATAATTAGACACAAGGGAGGATTCCGATAGTCCTACCTGCTTATAATGCCCTTCATTTGCATCTCTTTGTCCTCCTGCTGTCTGCGCAGGCGTTCCTCACTCTCCTCCAGCCGCGTTTGGTACTCTAGCAGTATCTTCTGTGTCTGGTCGTCTTGGCTCTTACAGCGGTTCTCATATTCTTCCAGCTTCTTGTTGGAAAGGCGCAGCTTGTCCTGAAGAACCATGATCTCCTGCTGGTACTGCCGGGGGGAAAATGGGTTTTAATGGTTCTCCAAACTTTACCAACATAGTGTGTATAATTCATGGCCATTTTAGTACATAAATGTCAGGCCCAAAAGGTGGTACACTCTTGCTAATTACATGTAAAGTGTGGAAATTCCAATTGTGAATTACTGCACCTTAAACATAGAGAATCTTAACAAATAAAACATCTATAACCTACACACAGATATGAGATCACTGTAAAGAAACCGGTTTCCTCTCTGCTGGCAGAAAACTTTTCAGACCTATTTTATCATTCTCACTTGGCTAAAACGATTACGTTTTCCATCAACCGTTCTTACCACAAGCTGCTTGAATAAGCTTCCTGACAGGAGTGCAGCTAACCTGGCGATCAAATCATCAGGAAAAAATCAGAAAGGACATGAATAGTGGCACAGAGCAATTCAATGTCATCAGACAGATTCCAAAGAGATAATGATAAAATAATCTCAGCGTTGATCATAGGTGGAACTGAGTGACCCTCATTTACTTGTGACAGTATTTTTAATTAGAAGTTTACTTGGATGGTGGATTTGGTGTGATTCAAATGCCTTGGTGAGGCAAATGATAGACATAGGAAAATGGAAAAAAGCTGATATAAAAAAAAAAAGCTCTTAGCCTACCCACACAGAGAATATTAGTGATATTTGCTTGTATTTTCTACGTTGCCCAGCCAATACAAAGCCATTTTCATGTGTTTGTAAATCTGCTACAATATCTACCAACATATATATGAGCAAGTTGCTAACATGTATCTTCCCCATGATGGTGTAGAGCCACCAGGAGCACTGGATGTGAAGAAGGGGCACACTTCCTCATCCACATCCTATGCCCCTGTCTCCGCAACCAATCATTAGGTCCGAGCGCCAAGATCCGGGGCATGCTAATGGATAAGCAAATATCAATCAATAGACAGTCCTTATTTGCCTAGCATGTTTGGGAAAGCTCTGATCATATAAGAAAGGTATGTTCTGACAGCTTTGTCATAATAAATATACTTCAATCTCTTCCCAGGACCACAACAGCCTTTACAGGAAAAGGTTGTGGAAACGCTTGAATTTCTTTAGCCAAAATCTTCTCAGAATGCCATACTAACCTGTAAACTCTGCTCCTTTCTAGTAGTTTCAGAGTTGAGGTAGCGATAAGATGAGGAGGCTACCAGCGGCTTATCAGTTGGAAAACTGTGATCAGAGTAACTGTTCCCCCTCCCACAGACATAAGATCATCAGCAGAAAATGTAATTTCACTGCTTTGATACTTTTAGGGCCACTTCACACTTGCATTTTTTTGCTGCATAAATGCAGATTGCAATCAAACAACCCATTCATTTTCAATTGGACTTTAATTCACAATGACAGGCCAAAAAACCTGCCTGTCTTTTTTCCCCCCCCAGCACATCACAAGTAAGGCATGTGTTCTTCAATACATGTGCTACAGTGTATTGATGCTAGGAGGCAGGTGGGTGTGTTTGTTCTGGCCATGTGTGCACTTTGGGGTGCCAATAACTATGGATTGTGGTGTGCACACACACAGCATGATAACACATGTAAAAGAAGGAAGGGGCCCTAAAGGTGCCCATACACTTTACAACCATCGCAAGACCGTAGTCTTGCCTTGGTTGTAAAGTAATTTAAAAAACGTACGATCTGCCCATCTTGGACAGGCAGATCGTACTTGCAATCATCGCAAGCCCGCCCCCCTGAGGGGCGGGCTTCCGATGGCCGCAATGCTGAACGGGCAGTGTGCGCCTCCCGGCAGTGCGCATTTGCCTCCCGAGCATCATTCAAAGAAGCTGAAAATCGTGACATTTTCGGCTGGTTTTTCTAGCATGCTCCTTAGACTAAAGACGTGCGACCGTACAGTAGAAACGGTCGCACGTCTTCATTCACACTGCACAATTCTCGTACGATCGTGGGATTTCCCGCGATTCTCGTACGAGAATCGTGCAGTGTATGGGCACCTTAAGTGTAACTACTGATCAATGGCAAAGACTTTAACATGAACTTTCTCAGGTGTTTACTGAGTGTCTACAGCTTGCCAAATGCTTCCCAGAAGCACTGCCAAAAAAATGTGTATTCAGGAACCCTGAACTGCAGCTGAAGGCTGCTTTCAGAAAGTCGCTCTGCATTTTGTAAACCGTGAATGGAGAGAGAACTGTCATACTCACATTTACAGGCTAATATTAGTATACAGGCTGCAGTCACTCAGAATGTCACCTTTATGTAAGCAGAGGACACTCTACCTTGTATAATCGCTACTGCCGCACACATCCAACACTGACATCTGGCCACAACTGCTCATTAAGGGAAAAACCTGCAATTCATTAAGAAAAGAAGAGACCTTTTTCGCTGTCTGACAAACAGGACTTAGTGACACTTCAGAATAATCATTATTATAATTGTGATGTAGATTTGTCTTTCCTGCCCTCCCGAACTCGGCTGACACTATAATAAACACCCTTGTAGCACTTGAGTGCCGCCATCTCTGATCTGTTGACACACAAGGGTCGCCTATCAACATTTCCATCTATTCTATTAAATGAACACTATTAATTAGCAGATGATTCTTTTTGGGTGTTAATTGAAGCTTTGAGCTGCAGAGAGCCAGATTCTAATAAGTTACCTTTGTGCTGATAATGAACAGCACTGAGATCCTAGACAGCCTCGGAGCTGAAAGTTGTCGGGGTCTGTATGAGGAGAAGGCAAGGAGGCCATTACTGGCAATTATTTCAGCCTGCGCTCTGTGTATTTACATTTTGCTCAGTGGGGGGCTAAGAGCTCTTCCTAATCATTGTGTAAGACTGGAAGAAGCTGCTTGCTTTGTGTGTGCTTCAGGCGGCAGCAGCTCTCAAAGGACACTGTGGCCCGCTGCTTGCAGAGCACCATCCAGCAGTGCCCTGTAGCCTGAGGATAGCAGTTTTAAGGGACAAGCTTAGTCCTGGAAGGATTTCATTTTTTTAATGAGGTTCTTGTGCGGAGATGTGCCCAGGCGGTGGTCCCTTCAGAATGTGTTACTGTCTGCAGCTTGTGATGAGAGCTGGTGAACCAGCCGCACACAGACAAACCATGTGAGATTCTCAGCTCCAACCTGCCATCATGTGAGTGTGCAGAGCTTCCCACCGTCATTATTAAATATGGATCCTAGATTAATTAGAATGTGATACAGTCCTTTATAAAGCCATATTATCTAGGAGGAGGAATTTTAGAAATAGGCTGGATGGGTGAATCTTCCCATCTGCAGGATGGTCACTGTAATCTCCACGCATTAAACAGCTGTAGTATATACTGCAGAAAACAGGAGATATTATCACCTGCCACCATGTCAGCTAAACACCACTTGATTCATCACAAAGCTGCAGGCATTTATGATAGGAACATTTTCACTTCCCATTGCTCATTCCCTCTTTCTCACTTTCAGCCTACCTCATAGGTTTCTGACCCATTGTCCTACCATATTATGGGACGCATTGTAATATACATACCTTAGGACAGAACATTCACCTCCCCCTTCCACTATTACCCTAATTACTTTTCATTCTCTACATATACAAAACCATTTGGATTCTATTACTGGGCGAGATTGTCATCATACCCCTAACGACGAAGATATATCTAATTACAAGATATGTTGTGTTCCTATGCATATAGCTCTATATTTCTGATTCACGCAGTGTCCCATACAGTGTATGGATTTATTCTACCTTTTAATTGTTCTGTAAACTGTTTTTGTTTTCCTCTTTTTTTGTTTTTATATGAAAGCAATAAACTCAGATGGAACAAAAAATGTCTCTCTGGAGTTAAGAATGTGCCACAAAGCAAACTGTAGCTGTTATCATTGCTTTTTGTTTTTATCTGGTGTAACCTGGTGAACCTCTACTATGGCAATCATACAGGGAGACAGGCAGAATGCTGGACTGAAGGCTTTAGGCCTCATTCACACTGCCGTACAATACACTGTGTATATGCATGTATTGTCCCATATGCAGCATATGAAAATAAATGGCTCCATACACATAGCTGCGTATGGAGCAGTATATTTGCGCTGCGTAAAAATGCGCAAAAACAGAATGGACCGAGATGCGTCCGGGCAACGTATTTCTGTGCATTTTACGCGCGTACAGTTCATTAAAATTTCTATTACGAATTATGCATTCTGAGATTGCATATAGTGTGCGTATATACGCAATATACAATTTTGCTCTTTGTGTGTGCATGAGGCCTAAAAGCAAAAATTGCCAACATGCTTTCTTACCATAAAAAAACCCCAAAAACCCTTCCATTACAGCAGGCGTGTGGTAACGCCCCACATTACATAATCAGGATATGTTTCTAAAGCATCTGTGCTAATAGTTCATTGTAGTACTAGTCATCATTTAAAAGAACACTAGAATTGGATGTGATATTTGTACTGCTTTTTTTTCTCCCTCTACTTACACCTATACTAACACGCTAATGCAATGGGTGGTCAACTAGGTAAATATGGAGGTCAACATGAACACCCTTAACATGTCCAGAGGGCCGGAAAAAAGCTTTGTTTTTGTAAATTTGCTGACCCCCCCTCCCAGGGTTGTGTCCATGACAGCCTGGATGTGGGATGGATGATGCAGGCCATCATTCAACATGGAAGATGAGCAGCGCTGACTCTAACTCTGCACTGGGATAAGGTCAATATTGCAATGTATAATTTTTTTAACTTACAGTTACACTAGTGTTTACTACACAGTAAACACTACATTTGCTGCAACTTTACAAAAAAAATGTTTGCAAAAAAAACAGGATGTTTGACTGGCCAAGGAATTGTCTTTTTGGAAATTTTACAGTAAGTCAAAAGTCCTGTTTTCTTATTTGTACACAGAAGAGGTATTCAGGTATACTGGGAGATTCAATAGCAGTCCAACTGAGGGGTGCGCACCACAGTAAACAAAACGTTTTTCTGCACGTTTTGTCGCGCTGAAAAACGCCCTACGCTCGAAAAAGTACATGAGCTTCTTTTTGGCAGATTTGAGCGCTGATTCTGCCATAGACTTCAATGGAAGCGCGTTTGAGCGTTTTTGTGTTCAAAAAACGTGTGTATATATGCGCGTTTTTCACAGGCACACAGGGCACTCTCTGGGGACTGTCAGGCACACTTTTGGACCACTTTGTTGCATCATGGAGGACTCCGCACTGTGTGGACTTGTGGATACAGAGACTTTAATCCGCATGGTGCAGGAAAAGCCATGCATATACGACCTGCAAGACGCAGGCTTTAAAAATAGGAGTACGAGGAAGCAGGCATGGTCAGAAATTGGAATCCCAAAAATCTGGAGTGATTGGGAAACATTCAGTCCCACCGTTGAAGAGGCCAACTATTGCTGCTATACGTCTCTGTTTGTATAGATCCATGGTAACGCGTCTCACCACACACTCTACACTGTCAAACAAGGAAACCGGAAAAGGAAATGATGTATCTCAGGAAGTAGTTTTCATTGGACGGCTTCTAGTGATTTCAAAAACTTGTGTAAAATGCGCGTTTCAATGAACACAAAAACGCCCCAAAAAGGTGCTAAAATGCGCATAAAAAAACGCCCAGGTGTGAACCCAGCCTTAGTTTGTTGAACCTGGAACAGGAGCGGTCCATGTCTGGTTCCCACCTGTGACAAAGGTCTTGGAACACCTCCGGGTGAAAATAACACTTTCTGGAGTCCAGATGCTGATGACTGCGGAAATCTGCTTGCCAATGTTCCATGCCTGAAATGTGCATGGCGGACAGAACTGGAACATGTAGTTCTGCCCAAGCTAGAATGAGATGTCTCTCTTTGAACTGCAATTCTTCTAGTTCATCCCTGGTGGTTGATCTAAGTCACTGCCGTGGCATTGTCTGACTGATTCCTAATCACGTGACTGTGCAGGCGAGAGGTCCAGAGCCGGAGAAAGAATCAAATCACTTGAGTTCTATAATATTGAATTGGAAGACGAGCTTCCTCCAGTGCCAAAATCCCTTGAAGTGATAGTGTGTCCAGGACTCCTCCCCTGCCCAAACGGCTGCCATAATTTATGAGAACCATCCAGATCTTTAGGAAGAATACTTTCCCTGATTCTAGGGCTAGAACTGTGAGCCACAATGCCAGGGCGAGTATGGCTTTGGGCTTCAGGCATAGGTGATGGTCCACAGACTGAACCTTATTGTCCCATGCAGCCATAATGTTGAGGTCTGGAGTTAAACTAGGCATATGGGACTATCTTGAAGGATGCTACCATAAAGCCCAAGATCCTCATGGAAAAGTGAAGGGTCATTTGGCTCCTGGATTGTAATGTCTGATTGTAATGTCAGGATTGATGACCAGAATTGCACCACGTACTAAAGATGGGGCCTTACCAGTGTTTTGTAAAGGGGCAAAATAATATTTCTATCCCATGAATAATTCCCTCTTTCCATGGAAAATATTCACTCTCCAATTTTATCAATGTCTTGCTGCAAGGATTCTATGTCATGTTGCGATCTTACTTTCTTGCACAACTTTGTATCATCAGCAAACACTGAGAGTGAGCTATTTATCCCAACCTCAATGTCAATTATGAACAAGATAAACAGAATTGGCCCTTAGACTTAACCCTGGGGCATTCCACTCACCCCTTTGGACCATTTAGAGAATGTGTCATTTATCCCTACCCTCTGGATGCGGTCCTGCAACCCGTTTTTCTATCCATGTACATATTGGTTCTTCAATGCCCATCGACCTTAATTTGTATAGTAACTGTTTGTGGGGTACTGTGTCAAACGCCTTTGCAAAGTCTAGAAAGACTAAAATCGACTGGGATTCCCCTGTCCACCTTACAACTTAATGTTGTGGTGGCTATGTTGAGTTTCTCTCTAACCTCCACAGACTACCTTTTAATCTGCTCATTGTTTCCATGGATTGTCCATGTAAGGTGTAGCAAAACATCAGTGGAAACAGCAAAGGTACAATCTAGACAGTTATAGCTCACACATTCAGACATCCTTGCAAAATTACTTACAACATAGATTCACCTGTGACAAGAGGATTTTCAGCATCAAGCGAAAAATAATCTTTTGCTGGAAAGATCCACTGGATCTTGCCAGACTGGACATACACCTCACTGAGCCTGGTCTGCCCACTCTGATACACTCTGCTAATGCCCTTCATGGTGCTTTTATTTCTCTTTAAGCACCTACAATATGTTTTTTCTAAGTATGGCTGGACGTTACTTCCCCAAGTGGGGTGGAGGGGTGAGGGATGGAGATCTGAGAGAGGAACATTCTGAGGTTCTACAACCCAGTTGAGTTTACCTTTTCTATTTGGGTCATCTCCTCCTTATTCCTCATATTATCCCTGTGCTTGAAATCTGGCTCAATGCTTTCATCTTCTAACATCATATTCATATTCAAGAGCCATGCGGCTGTGCGGTCCAGAGCATTGGGGTTCACAGGTGAAGGGGCCTAAAACAAAACATACAACCAGAACAAAAGAAAGCAATGAAATTGAAAAAAAAAGAAAAACATGAGCAGCAAAAGAAAAATGGAAATGATCTCTTGTCAAAGATACGGCTGCTAACAATAATACTCTGGAGCAGGCTCTCCAGCAGTTGTGGAACATATTTAACAGCATGCTGGGAACTGTAGTTCTACAACAGCCAGAAAGCCAAAATCAGAAAAAGACTAGACAACTATCTTAAAAATAGCACAGGATTAATGAAATGATTTATACCAATGCACTGCA